TCATTACTCACAGAGGGCTTCCTTCCATGGTTTGAAACTGGGCATCCTTTCCCTTTTCCATTCCCAGCTGGAACTTTGCTGGCCAAAGCATCTTACCCAGAGGGTTGCGGGGAGGTCGTGCCCAGGCCCTCGCGTTACATCGAGGTGGCTCGGAAGGCTTAATGCTGAAAGCAAATCGCCAAGGTTCGGGGAAGGGTAGCTGGGCATAAATCAGGTGCTTGCTAATTACACATTTACGAGGCGGCGTGCTGGTAGATGGGGAGTAGCCTCTTAACGCCACGGTACCTGCTGCTGTTTGAGGTCTGCTTATCCCCACGCTGAAAGCCTCGTGCCTGGTGAAGAGCTCCAGGCACCGCCTTTACAAGGATTTAGGACATGGAGTAGCTGGCAGGCACTGGTGATGCTCGGCTCTTCCAGTGGGGCCGGATCTATACGGAAAACGAAGCTGCTGGTGCAGACCTCGCTCGGCCCCGCTGCGGATGCACGTGAGGTTAATTGGCGCGGTTCTCCCCGTGCTGCAGGTGCACGAGCAGTCGAGCCCCCGGCCGAAGGGAGGCTGAGTTAACGAGCGTTTTTAATGAACGGTGACTTGAGACTTTGGACGGAGGGGTTGGAAGCGGGCTTTAATAACAGTGCTGTTGCTTTTATAAAAGGCACCGAACTCCGCGTGATAGCCTTTCTTCGTTCGTACGGTGTTTATATTACTAATTTTTAAGTGTAGTTTTCTGGATCAGGCTTCTTATTAACACTTAAAAACCCACATTAGCTCAATTATCTTTTTTTCTTACTCACTTGCAAGTAAGAGGCATTTCTCTTAAAGATGGTCTGTGCAGTGGGAGTTTTGTAGATTTAATATACACATATTTTTTCCTTTAGGAAACCGATTGCTACAGGATTTCCAGTGTTGTTCTTTGAATTCCACCCTGCATCACAGGAAAGGCTAACTCTGAAATTCATCCGTAGCCACGCAGGGGATCTCTCACTGACTCCATAGTCATATTCTCTCCTTCCTCCCAGTGACTCCGGTGTAAATCTGAGCAGGCAGTCGGGATCCTTGAGGCAAGGCTGTTCGGACCGTAGCAGGCTTAGCAGCAGGGCCTGGGAGAAAAAGGGTGATTTTGGGGGATAGTGGTGCAAAGTGAAGGGGAAAGGTGCTTCTTGGGGACCTTTATTTTTAGGGAGGTGGGGGACAAAAGAGAAAAGAGCAGGTTGGGACTGGATATGGGGTCAAGTCCTTTCCAGGGGTGAGGGCTCTTTCTGTAAAACCTGTAGAGAAACTCCTGCCTTGAGATTTTTGTGGAGAAGATGGGTTTTCGCTTGTCCCAAGGCGGATGCTCTCGTTCGGGTAGGAATCCTGAAGGCCTGTTGGTATTTTGTTGGAAGTTAATGAAAACCTAACCGCAGGCAGTTTTAAAAGCAGTGGGGGTTTAAAGCCTTGATGTGAAATGCACTTAAAACCCGTTACGTTAGTGCTGAGGTGAGGCAGAGCAATAACACCTCATTCCTTCATCCTCCGGCGGCGAGACGGGCACAGGAACGCAACCAGATGAATGAGTTGCCACGGCACGAGCGGGAGTGGGAACGTGCAGCTCGCCAATTTCCTGGGGTAATTGCTCGTACGTACCGCCTTACCTCGTAGTAAACGCGGAGTAATTGCTTCTCAACAGAAGTGATCTGCCTTGCGTTTACCATTAGGGAACTTCGTGGAGCTCATCCTGTTTTTTTCTTAACGTAGCTTGTTCGTCTGCCATCCTCCTCAGCATTTTATGGCCTGATCCAGAATTTCTGCACTTGTGGTATTCTAATTCCATCATTTTCTTTTGGACAATGCTAGTTTTCCATTCGCTTAGTAACCGGACCCGATTGTTCTTTACTGGTTTGTAGGGTATTTGTATGGGACGTTCAGACTCCGGATCGCCCCACAGTGCCTTTCTCCTCGGTTTTGTTTGTTGCCTTAATCCAGTCATGGAATCCAGCCTGTGGAACTACTGCTCTTCTAAGCAGTGCGTTGGGGCACTCGGAGATACATCACCTTGGTCACACCAAGGCTGAGTTAGTCCCTAGTAAAAGGAGCGTAACCGTAGCTGTGCACCAAGCAGACTCTGTTGGAAGCGGTGGTTGGTTTCAGAACATCCCGTCGGAGGAATTTAAGAGGTGATTTGCCATTTGGTAGGATGCCAAACAAGACGTTGGCGCATCGTTTCAGTTTGGCGGAGAGCTTGTTTTCTCTCGTCGGAGGAAGAAGTTCTTCCAGATTCGAGGTCACAGATGTGTTGTAACCGGTAGCCGCAGCTGCTTTCGGAAAGCTTCCCTTGCAGTTCCCGGTAACAGAAAAATAGATGCTTGGTTAAAAGAACATTTAGCATATCTGTTTGGTGTTTAATTTGCTGCTAGGCCTGTAAAAATGTGAAGCAGGCTGGGAAATTCTGATGGTAAAGGGGTCTTTAAGTACCTGCTTAATTTTTCATGTGAAAAGAAAAGCTTGATGTGACATAACTGGAACATAAACCGTAACATGGGTAGGAGTAAGTTCCTTTGTCTGTTGTCGATGGTTCTCTGGTTCATGGGGTGTTGCAAGGGTCATCTCTGGGGGCAGAAACAGAACTCACTGGGTGTGGGCAATGCTGTGAGTAAAGGTTGGGAAGCTCCCAATGGCCTCGGCTCTTGAGGCAAGGCAGGACTGGAAGATCCATTTGGAGGCTCTTCTCTCCGTCAGGAGCGTAGCAGCTCGCTCTGAAGGACAGGTATAAACCAAGGGAAGGGGGGTCAGGGTGGTATCAACTGAGCATTCCCTTTGATGAAGAGAAAGGGTGCTCTGTGCCAGGCTGGGCAGCACAGAGTAAGAGCTTAACCCGTGCCCTGGTACGTGCTGTGCTCGGGATGCAGGACAGCCTGCTTGCAAAGCTGCTCATTTCACAACAGGTATTTTTAATATTTCTGCAATGATTCTTTCTTGTAGTATCCATCATATTTTCCATTCTCTGGCCCTTACTTTGCCAGGGAATGTCCTTAGAGCAGTACCGCTCCCCTTCGCCTGGGAAGACTGGAAGCTGCAGGATGCAAAGAGAGAGATGGCTGGCACTAGTGTATTCAGGAGGCTTTAGGAAGCAATTTGCTTAAAAGAATCAGAGGTGAATTTTCAAGAGGAAGGGTTGTTTGCCTGGGAGCATCAACCTGGTTGCTGGGGCATTAGATTTCCTTGGGTCAGGGGGCCAGATGTGGGGCTGGGGTGCTCTTGGGCTCCGGAGGAGCTGGCTGCCGTGCTTCCCGTTCTTTCAGTGCAGAAGCAGATGGCATGGGGATGCTGAAAACGGGATGGGAGGTTTAAACTGTCAGCAAGGGGTGTGTGTGGGGGATCAAACTAAAGCAAAATCGAATTGTTGAAAATTGTCGAAGCTGCAAGCCGTTATTTGACGATAATAAAGTCGCTGCTAAAGCAGTAGTCCCGTCGGAGTGAAGCAGCAGAGCTGCAGTAGGGGAACGGCCCAACTCCCTGCTTGGAGTACAATGAGAGCGAGAGAGGCAGAAGCATTTCCCTAGATTTCTGAAGTTGTCTCCAGGAGCGCCTCAAGCTTGCGGGCAAGGTAGGTATCTGGTAAATCCAAGCAAGCCACACCACGCCCCTGTCTCCAGAAGTCTTTTGGCTGTGTCTGGGGAGCAGCACATTTTTAATCTCGCGGAGTAATCGCCTCATGTTGCCGTGCGGGAGGAGGATGCTGACCTTAGCAAGGCGTCACGCTGAAAATTCAGCTTGAAGCAATAATTGCGAGCCGTAAAGTAACGCACGTGTCGCCTCCTTCCATTCGCTGGACTAAGGGCTTCCTCCTGGACCAAAAGACACTCAGAGCGTGTTCAGACGTCAGCATCTGGAAAAGAACTCGGCTGTAAGCGGAGGCTTGAGTTGAAGGGCTGCGTGTGGTTCCCACCTCAGCGTTACACGGGGCTGATGTTTAATTCATAACGTGCTGATTTCTGAATTGCAGGGTAAAGGTAACTGAGAACAGCTTGAAAGCCGTGGGGAGACGGCCTTAAATTAAGAGTGCAGAAACCAGCCCGCCACCGCAAGCCGATAGAAACAATTCCAGCTGGAGACAGTCCGATGTTTACAGCACGTTTACCTGGTTTTGTCCAACCATAAACATACTCTGATGGAAACCCTGGTTTTGTTTTGCCCCCGCTGGGGCAGTTCTTTGCCTTAAGTTGAACTGGGGATTGTGTTGGTCACCAGGTAATAAAGGGAATGAGGTGTCTGGAACACGATCTGGTCTGGGAAGATGAAGTTCTGGCTTCTTGATTCCTTGGAGATTTTCTACCCTTGTTGTGCAGCTGTCTTGCCTTGGGGTTGATGCCTCGCTTACCAGCACTTGGTACTGACCAATTTCCTTTTCTCCGCAGGGGACACTACACAGAAAATGAGATCTGCACAGTATCCTACCCCAGCAGAATTGGATGCTTATGCTAAGAAGGTCGCCAACAATCCACTGACTATCAAAATCTTTCCAAACAGTGTCAAGGTTCCCCAGAGGAAACACATACGCCGTACTGTGAACGGACTCGATACTTCGTGCCAGAGGTACAGTCCCTACCCGTCTCAGGCCACCACGAAAACGGGCCTCCTGGCGATAGTCAAATCCCCAGCGAAAGGCATCATCAAAGACTTTGACGGGACGCGCGCGCGCCTGCTGCCGGAGGCGATGATGAATCCCCCTTCCGCGCCGTACGTTGCACCTAGCACTTTAACCCACCCCCAGGCGCTTGCTCGCCAGCAAGCTCTCCAGCATGCACAGACTTTGCCGCACCCCCAGAGCATCCCGCAGCCACAGACTCTGCAGCACCCTCAGGGTATTCCACAGCCACAAAGCTTACCGCACCCTCAGGGGATACCGCAGCCGCACCCTCAGAACATGCCGCAGCCCCAGGGCTTGCAGCACCCTCAGACCATGGCACACCAGACTCTGCAGCACCCCCCGAATCCTTTGCTGCAGCCGGGTTTACATGGAAGCAGAAAGATGCCGGATGCAGATGCGCCGCCGAATGTGACCGTGTCTACCTCAACCATCCCCCTCTCGATGGCTGCCACCCTGCAGCAGAACCAGCCGCCGGACCTGAGCAGCATTGTGCACCAGATTAACCAGTTCTGCCAGGCCAGAGCTGGCATTAGCACTACCTCAGTGTGTGAGGGACAGATCGCAAACCCCAGCCCTATCAGTCGCAACCTGCTTATCAATGCAAGTACCAGGGTATCTACTCACAACGTCCCCACGCCCATGCCTTCCTGTGTAGTAAACCCTGTAGATCATGCTGCTGCTGCTATCCCTCCTGCCTCTGTTAACGTGCCCATGGTGAATATTAACAGGGTGCCGCCCGCCTACCAGAACGACATCAAATCGGTGGCGTGGAACCAGCACCAGCTTGCGCATCTGCAGCAGATGTGCGGGGATGCTGCTGGGCCCGCTGGACTCGCAGGGAAGCACCCTCCGAGAGAGATCGCGGGGCAGAGCTTTCCCGGCAAAGCTTCCAACTACCCTCAAGAACTCTGCATGGGCCAGTCCTTCAGCTTGAAGCCCCCCATGGAGAAGCCTACGCCTTCGCCCCCTGTCAACGGCTTGCAGGGACCCTTGCCATATACCAATGGGCACTATTTCCAGCCCATCTGGAATAACATTCTGCCCACACCCAACAGTGACAGCTCTGGGTCCCAGGACCTCGCCATGCCTTTCCACGGGGGACAGCCAGCCGGAGCGCCGCTCGATTGCGCGGGAGGAACTCATTACAGAGCCGGGGCTGGCCCAGCCAGCCAGAATAATGTGATGCAGACCATGGATTACCTAAGCGGGGACTTCCAGCAGTCCTGCTTCAGAGATCAGAGCATGGCCGTGCTGGGAAAAGTCCATCGGCCTCCCATGAACCGAGCACCTGAACCAACCGATAGTCGAAATCTTCATATTCAACACCCAGGGTATAGATAGGCTGCAGTCACTTTCACAGACAAAACAACAAAAAAAAAAATTAGAGGTTTAGTCTTAATTTTAATTAATAAGCAAGGCATTTTTAACTTGCAAACTTGTGTGATCATTATAGTACCCTTTGGAAGAAGACACACTGTACATTTCAGAGCTTCGCTTACATGTTACCTCTCTCCTTGACGCCTCAGATGCTTCACGTGCCGTTTCCTTTCAGAGAATTCCATGACACTACGTCACGCCACAGCCGCTTCCTCACCGCAGAACCCCCTTTTGCGCAGCTTTTGCCTTCTGCTTAGCAGCCGCTTGCCGGACTGATGCCGAGTTGCCGCAGGGTTTCGCAGTGGCGGCTGTTCACCGGCTCTGTAAAGAGCGAGGGAGCGTAGCTGCTTAAATTCCCGTCTCCGTTTCCTCGGAAGGTTAAGAGCGACGGAATTTGTCAGGAAGCGGGGCTTATTCTCGACTCGAAAGCCCGTTTCGTTAATGCATTAAACGTTGACCATTTGCACTGTCTAGAGGCCTATTTAATTGAAAACGAAGCCCACGTCCGCAGAGAGCTAGCTAGGGGCACGTCTTTAGGCAGCGCTACAGGAAGAAGCTTTGCAGCCGGTTCGTGCCGAGACGCCCGTCTTTATCCGTTAGATTTTCTCCAGAGCCAAAAGTCTCCGGCTGGTTTTTGGTTTTTTGACACTTTTCCTTGCGGACAGGGTATGGAGGAAGGGGGAACGGCGGTTTTAGGACGTAGGCGGCGTAGCTGCCTTTTTATTTTCTGCATCGTATTTCCCTTCCCCGCTCCCCCTTTCACCAGCGTTAAGAGCTTTGTCTGAACCCCCCCTCCTCGCTGCTAGGAGTCTGGCCGTCCTGACGGGAAGGGAATCCAGACCCACCGCCAACTCCAAA